AAAAAAAAAAAAAAAAAACTTTAAAAGTGATAATAATAGATAAATCCTTTGGCTCTAACGAACATCATTTTAGTGGTATGAAGTCTCCAGTCCATTCCGATGTTGCATTTCTGGCCTGTGTGTCCTCATCATCACTCCCTTGGTCTTCTCATCTGCCTACTCAGAATTCCCAAGTGTCTGTCTCTAATCTAGACCTTCCTGAGCCTACCCTGTCCCTCTGCCTTCTCAGCACCCTGAAGCCTTCCACCACACTTCTCAGTACCAACTTATATATATATTTTTTTTACACTTTTTTTTGTTTTGTTTTGTTTTAGGTGGACACAATATCTTTATTTTACATTTATGTGGTCCTGGGGATCGAACCCAGTGCCTCATGCATGCTAGGCAGGCGCTCTACCACTGAGCCACAACCCCAGCCCCCCAACTTATATTTTGGTCAGCTATTTCACTACTGTAACCCAAAGACCTGACAAGAACAGTTAGAGGAGGAAAAGTTTATTTGGGGGCTTACAACTTCAGAGGCCTCCATCCACAGCCAGCCATCTCCATTCCTCAGAGCTTGAGGTGAGCCAGAAAGAACATCATGGCAGATGTGTGTGGCCGAGGAAAGTAGCTGAGAACATAGCTCCAGGAAGCAGAGAGCTTGGCTCAACAAGGACAAAACGTATACCCTGGAGGCATGCCCCAGTGACACAGCCTGCTGGCTCTCAGTCACCACCAAGTGAATCCCTGTCAGGGGATTGATTTGCTGATTGGGTTAAGGCTATCAAAACCCAATCATTTCACCTCTCGATTTCTTACCCTTGAACTTTTGGGCAACACCACACATCTAAACCTGCTTTAATATGACACATGTTCCAGAGGAGCCTGATTCTGTAGGTATAACACAGCTCATGGGGGAAAAGAGACCTAAGGACAGACCACTCAGAATGCATGTGGGTAGGTAAGCAGAAGATTAACAGTCCTACCCACAGCAGTCACACAAGTGAGGCCCTATTGGGCAAGGACTGATAGATGGTGCAGTCCCATGGCCCTGGGATGCCAGGGCAGCTGCTGCCTCCTCTAATCTGGACTTCATATTTTAAGAATATTTTCTAGAGTATAAGGAATTGCATTCAGACATATTATTAAAATTAATAAAGGAAGTCTTTTAATTTAGGTAACAAAACATTCCAAGTCTTGTCAATGCCTAGTGGGAGAACAGACCAAAACAGTGCTTGCAGGGGCCTCAGAGCAGCTCCAGGCCTTGGACCTGGCAGCATTCCTTGGCCATTTGACTCCCCCTGCCCAGAAGCCTTCACAGAGTGGGTTACCACCGTCTCTCAAGGCTGCTTTTTTTTCAGGGGACATTGACAGGCTTGGTTAGAGTCCGTTGACATGTATTTGTTGGCTCCTGCTGGCCAGGTGAGAGACAAAGGTCAGGGCTACAGGGAGAAAGAGGGTCTGGTATTGTGGAAACATTCCTGTGGAGTCAGGGAATCTGTTGTAGTTTGGAATTGAGGGTTGCTTGCTCTGAGGGTGTAGTTTGGATGGAGATATTCAGGGGATTAGTCATAGTCTGGAATTGAGGGTTGCTTGTTCTGAGGTGTACTTTGGATGGATATACATGTTTTCATTTCTCGTTTCCTCCCAGAACAGACTGCCTTTTTCATTGGCATTTTTACTTTCCTGTGGGCAGAACGACCCAGGACATCAAAGAGAAAGCCCCACTTTATTTTGTTGCTTAAAGCGCTGCTGTTGTCAAGCTACGGGAAGCTCCTGCTGATCCCGGCTGTCATCTGGGAGCATGACTACACTCCTCTGTGCCTCAAGCTCATCAAAGTGTTTGTGCTGACATCAAACTTCCAGGCGGTCAGAGGTAAGCTTCTGCTCTGCTCCTCCGCCTCCCACCCACAGGGAAGGTGAAGCCTCGCTTCTGGGCCTTCAGAATCCTGTGGTTGCTTCTGGGGCCACAGCAGGCCAGCGCGCCTATAGTCCCTTGCGCAGGTGGGTGCTCAGGATTCATTCACTGTGACCAGGTGCCCTCCTCTGCCCTCCCCCTGTCCTGTGAAATTCGTGGGTGGCCTTTGTTGCATTACTTTTATGAATGAGTTCATGGGACTGCAAGGGCTGAGTGGCATGGCCAGAGTTAACAAGGCCAGGCAGTTGCCACCCCAGGATGCATGCCAGGCATGGGCATCCACAGCAGGCAGCACCTGTCACGCCAGGAAACATGTCTCCACTTCTTCCTGTCACCGATTTAATGACTGTTCTGTGATGCTGTTACCATCATGCTTACCCTCTTGCAAATGTGACCTTGAGACTATGGTTCTCTGTTGCTCTCTTTAGAACCCGGGAGTCTGCTTTTTGTTTTTCCAAATATTGATGAGACTCTGACTCTCGATTCTCTCAAAGGCTTACTGATGGAAGTGCTAGAGAAGGAAGCAAGCAGAGAAATATAAACAGTGTACATGAAAGAACATCTTTGCCAAACAGCTCACACCCACAGAATTCACATTCCAGTGTCATTGAGACTCCTAAGACTGTGTTGGCTGCCTCTTCTTTCGCAGTGGCCCTGAGCATCAACCGGAAGCTGTCCCTGCTGGCCATCCTGAGTGGCTTACTGCTGGAGAGCTCCACAGTGTGCCTCTTCCAGAGGCTGGAGTGGGACGTCAGCAGCGACTGCGCCATCTATAAGTCCCAGGACTTCTGAAGGTACGGGCGGCCTCAGGCCTTCCCAGCCTAGGCAGCCTGCGCCACCTGGGCACCTCAAGTCTACAGCCCGTGGCTCTGGACCCTTCACTCGAGTCCATATGCCCTCTTCCTAACAGCAGCGTCCCTGCTTGCATTACCTTGAGTCCTGCCCTCACAGAGCAGGGCCTGCCCTGGAGTTCAGCCTCTGCAACTGCCTGCAGCCCTCTCCTGCCCTGCACAGCAAGTCCCCTGCCTCCCCACCTGCTCTTTGCTGCCTTTCTTGCCTTGTCCCTTCACTTCCACCTTTCCTCTGCTTTTGGCCTACTCTGCCCCTGTTCGCTCATACCTAGAGCCTGTAGGCAGTGACCAAGCAGTGCTGTTGGCCCTGAGCACTTCCTGCCTTTGCCCTCTGTTGTGTGGCCTCCTGGAGGCTGTCTGTGTGAGCCTCGCCATCTGCTTCTACACAGGGTGCTCCCCTTCAGCACAAGAGTTCTGCGGACAGACCTCTGGCTGCTCCTCTGTTCTCGTGGCATCTCCAGGGCCTCTCACTAGAGGGCCTGACCCCTGCCATGCACCCCTCACCCATACCGGCCTCCTCTGGCTAAGGACTGAGGTGGTGGGAGCCTGGGCTCTGCATCCAGAGCACCGCCAGCCCTTGTGCTCTGCCCAGGTGCTCGCCTGTCTCCCCAGGGCTATCTGTGGCTGGTGCTGGGAGGTGCATCCTGGGGAGCAGCCATGTCCATGCCACACTTCTGGGGAGTCCAGGTAGTACATTGCCCCTTCCTTGTCCTATCATGTCCACCTGGCGGGTGACCGCCATCTGCTGCCGCAGCCCTCCTGACACCCCACTTCATCTGGTGGCCTGCGTCTCCGCCTGTTCTGCTCTTTTCACCCTCTCCTGCAGGCAGCTGTGGCTTCAGATGCCCTTCTCCCCCATGGGGCGTCTTTCCTCTGCCCACTACCTGTGCCCAGCAGTCGGCCTCAGCCTGCCCCTTCCCCATGCTCACGACTCCTGTATAAAATGTGCTTTCTCAGGCACAGTACACACACCTGTAACCCCAACCACTCCAGAGCCTAATATGGGCTGTTGTAAGTTTGAGGATGGCCTCCAAGATTTAAAGAGACCCTGTCTCAAAAGTTAAAGAGCTCGGGATGTGGCTAAGTGGTAAAGAGCCTCTGGATTCAATTCCTAGGACCAAAAATAAATGAATAAAAGAAAGAAAGTTTTTTCTCCCAGAGTCTCGGGAACTCTGTGTGGCCTTAAAGTTCCCAGGGCAGCTGGCTGCTGGTTGCTGGCTGCTCTTCAGGGTCTTGCTCCTTCTGAAGCAAACCTCCCTTTCCCCTTCTGCCAGGTCTCCTGCCCTGAGTGCCTGCTCTGCCCTTGGTCCTCTTCCTGTCTCTTATGTGCACCTCTGTGCATGTTCCTTCCAGGGCACCCTGCCAGCTCTTCCTCTTGCCAGGTCATTGGGCACTGTCCACTGCTCCTATGTAATGACCAGATGGGCCTTTCTTCCATTTCCTAAGGTCAGCTAGCCTGACACTGAACTCCCTGGGATCTGTGTCCCCCAAAATCATGCTTGCCTGACAGCTTTCCTCAGGCAGTGCCCCTCCTGTCTCACTCTGTTTCCTGTCTAAGGCCTTCACCTGCTGGTGCCACCTCAGTCCTCCCAGAACACAAGGCAGGGGTTCCCCCCCCCGCCCCCGGTCTCCCATCACCTCTTCCTGCTGACCTAGGTGTACCACATCTTTGGTTTCTTCTGGGACAGGGCAAGGCCCTGGCACTGCCCACTGAGGTTCCTCTCCGTTCTCTACCCCCTACAGGTCTGCTCTCCAGCACCGCTGCGGCCCCAGGAGCCACACCGGGCGACTGCACTCCTGCTTACTGGTGCCTGCCCATCCGCGGCAGCTGTGTTCCCAGGATCTGCCTGGACCAACTCAATGCTGGCATTTTGTCCCATTTCACAAGTGTTTCTACTTGTCACTGTCAGTATGATTCACAGTTGGGAAAGCCCTGTCCTGTGGTATGTCATTTCCCATCTGCACCCATGCTCCTGCTGCCCTGCCCTCTCTCGGGATGCTCTGGGAGGCCCTGTGGCAGCCCCTCCCGGACTGTCAGCCGCACGTGCCTTTCCAGGACCCCTCCTCTGCCATCTGTGGAAGGCAGGACCGAAGCCAAGCTCTGTCCTGATGAGCAAGTGAAGCAAAGATAAAAGGCGGAGATGTGGAGTAGAAGCCCTCGTACCCCAGCCCACCGGCCAAAAGGTCTACTCCTGAGCCCCACACAGGGCAAGGTTTCATCCCTTGGAGTGGTCATGTCTTTTCAATTGAAAGTTAAGTTACTGGCTTAAAATGATGATATTTTGTGTTTTTGAAACAGCAGAAACACTTTCCTCTTAATAAAGTCTTTCAACTGAATTTTTAAAATTTTTCAATGTAGTAACTAAATTACTTTTTTAAATTGGCAGATGCAGGGCTGGGGATGCAGCTTAGGGCAGGGTAGAGGGCTTGCCTTAGTATGTATGAGGTCCTGGGTTCAATCCCCAACCCTGCAAAAAACAAAAGAAGTTTGGGGTTCTAGCTCAGTAAAGCACATACATGTCCACGTCCTGAGTTCAGTCCCCAGCCGCCTACCACCCAAAACAAGCAAGCACTGTGACACACTGATGGTAGGTTACAGACTGCTGGTTGACACTATCCACTTCCAAATCCATGCTCCATACCCCCCATCTTTCTTGATCACCACAAAGGTATTTGCTTATCTTTAAAAGAATAGATAACTACTAAATTATTAGGACCACCTCCTTGGTGTCAGTGAGCAGCAATTGGCCAAAGGCTGTGGAACTTCAGGTAGAGCTGGCCTGGACCCATCTCTGACTGAACTCCAGGTGCCAATAACACCATGTGAGGAAAGAAAGGCAAGACTAAGAAATCAGGCTGCTTAGCTAGGGAAGTGGGTCACTGTCCCCACACCTAAGCCCCAGGGCTCATACTGCCTCTGCGTTGGTGGCAGCCTTGGTTTTCCAGCATTTTTTTATGAAAAATTTTAGGACAGATGAATAAATAGTACAGTGAGGACACCCATGTCCAGCCCTGCACATCACAGCCATTCATTTTGCCCCAATTTCTTTGGCGATATTTGGTGCCTTAGTTTGATGTCTATTTTCCGTGCCTCTGCCACCACCACCCCAAAATTGAGATATGATCTAACAGTAGCAAAAATATACTTACATGAAAATCCACTTTAAAGATACAAAATTAAGGGACTGGGGCTGTAGCTCAGTGATAGAGCACTAAGCTTGGCACTCGTGAAGCACTGGGTTCTACTTTCAGCACCACATAAAAATAAAAGGTATTTGACCATCTACAACTAAAAAAAATTTTTTTTAAGTATTTAAAGAAAGAAAAAGATACAAAATTAAGTCACTTTTAGATATTCTTCCTTTATTAAAAACCATGAGCACTCCAGCCACCTGGAAGTCCTGCCTAGTCCGCAGCCATTGACGAGCTGTCCTGAAAATGGATGGAGTCCACTGCTTGCTCTTGAGTTTCAGGAGAGCTGAGAACCAGCGGAGGAAATGCATGGGAGGTGCACATGGCAGGCAGGCTGACACAGCCGTGGAGATGGACAGGGGCCTTTTGTTAAAGGCTTCCTCCAGCAGTGTTTGGAGCCTCTGAACCATATTGGGGAGAAAACAACATGGTGTATGTTTGAGCCAAAGAAAGAATATTGCAGCTATTACAAGACAGAGGCATGAATCAGGAAACCCGAAGACAGTTTTTATAACCAGTCTTAGAATGGCTAAGGGACCTGCTCAAGGTCTCAAGTGACCAGATTGGGTCCTTTCTAGTCTGTGCCTAGGCTAATACAGGGCCCCTAATGTTGGCCTGTTGGTAGTCTAATGGTGGCTCTCTGAGGGTTGGTATGAAGAAGGAATGCTTACCTGTGGGAGGCCATCCTCGCATGTGATTTGAGTTACCTCCCTGGCTAGGTGAGAGGTGCTTAGACACAGCTGTGTCAGAGCTTTCCCCATCCTTTTCCAGGTCCGAGGGCTTTTCCATGCAGAGGCGTGTCTGGCTACTTTCTCGAAGACCCAATAGTCGCCCCTGACTTTGGGATGCTGCCCCCCTTAACCTTCATTGGATGGGACTTTCCCCGGAATTTTTTGTTGCCCAATAAAAGTCGACTCCCTGGCATGTTTCTCTCTCTCTCTCTCTCTCTCTCTCTCTCTCTCTCTCTCTCTCT